ATGCGGTGGAACGGGAAATTGGCATCATGGATGTGCAGCCGACAAATTGCAGCAACTGTATGAAGCTATCATGTCAACATGGAAAAACATCTCTGAGGAATATTTCCAGTACCTTGTTGAATCTCTGCCACGAAGGATTAAGTCAGTTCTGATGTAAAAGGGGTCCAACCCGGTACTAGTAAGATACCTAGTAAGTGCCTAATAAAGTGGCCAGTGAGTGTACAAGCCTATATAAAGATGCCACTTCAGATTCTGTGGTTTTACAGTCAAATCAACATGCTTCATTCTCACATCATACAAACACACACAAGAAAACAAGTGTTTCTAACAAGTTTTAGGAAAAAACTAAAAGAGATGTGATCACATACAACATATATTTGTGGTATCTGTCAAGTAAAAGTGACATTTTATGTGTGTTATTCAAAGTTTACAGCCTCTGCCTGCTGTCTCTCATCAACACGCGTATATTTAAATTTTACTTTCCCTCACACAGACCGCCAAACCTGATAAACAAATAAAAATGTGTCTTCTTTCCTAAAAAAGGAAATACAAACATCAGTTCAAAACAATAAACAATTTAGCATTGTAATTTGAAGAGAGCATCAAACCACAGACACCTTCATCACATACAGCTGCAGTCTTTCTCACTGAGCTCATCATACGGGACATGAAGAAGAGCTTCAGTGGCTTTACAAGAGCTCAGTCTCACATGCCCCTTTCACACATACAGACCTTTCCGGAAAATTACCGGCAATTTTCCAGAAAGCTTGTATGTGTGAACAGGTCCTTTTTGAAAATACCGGTAAATTCGTTCTGGCTATTTTCCGGTAAGAGAAGTTGTAAGATTACCGGCAATTTGCCGGAATGCTGCGCTGTGTGAACGCAGAAGGAAGATTTCCGGAATAAGCGCGTGCACGTCTAGAACGTGCTGACGTGAGACGTCTGCTTTAGTCAATCACAACAGTCAGACGCATTTACGTCCGCGCGGTTTGTGAGAATAAAAGCCTTTGAATATTTTTCCAGACACATTTAGCTGCTAGAAGTTAGTCAGATCACGTTTATATGTTCTTCTTTATGCCAACTGTGTAAATAATCATCGATAAGATGCTTATGATAAGCCGTTGTTTGTTTACCTTCAAGCTTTGCGTGTGCCCATGAACAGCCTGTGAGCGCCTGCACACACACATATTATGAACATCTCGACATGCGAAAGTGATCCTGTGAAAGTTGTTTACAATATTGATCATCAAAAGAGTTTGTAATTTAGTCAAATGTTTGCAAACACAAGCGCAGCCGTTTAAAGCTCATTTGTGGTTAATGATGTCAGAATTTACCGGTATTTTGGAATGGATGTGTGAATGCTCTTTTCCGGAAAAATTCCGTAACGTTCTCGCCTGTGTGAACAGCGCTTTTTTGTATATACCGGTAAAGTCGTTCCGGAAATTTTCCAGATATTTACCGGTATCACTGTGTGAAAGGGGCTTATGTTCGCTATGAAAAAACAAATCAAATTACATTAATGTATTTACTAGCATGAATTTGAATGTATTCACTGACGGTAAAGATGATAAAAGATGAGTCTCTGTTAAAGTATTGATGAGTCTGTAGCCCCTTTGATAAATCACAAGCATATATCTCAAACATAACAATTCAACTTCCTTATGAATAGTTGTATTCTGACGTCCTCACTTTACAGCGAATTAAAGCCCAGTACAAATTTAAAGTCTATCCCTCCAAGTCTATACAAATTTAGCATTTTAATCAGCAGTAGAGCTACACATAGGCCTAATATTATTATTATATTAACCAGTTAAGCTCTGGGGCTATAAGGGGTAATTCCGACCTGAATTTGGCCTTCCGATTTAAAAAGCTTCCCATACCCGCATGCAGAGGTGTAAATACAGAAGTTTGGTATCATTTGAAAGGAAACCCTTTGAAATTTCATAAAATACAGCTGAAATTAAAAACAATTGTTGTATATATTGTCTGTGTTACAATAAACATGCAAAAAAGGCGCTTTATTTTTTATAAACTGAAGTTTATAAATCATAAACAAAGGCACTGTGACTTATCACTTACTACACAGAAGGGATAATTGCAATTCCACAAAAAAGAAACCAAACAATCATATAATTAGAATAATCATTTCTGTTATAATATCCGCTTGCTCAATCTGATGTCGCACAGTTTCCAGGTCCAGGCCCTCTATCAGACTATATGGGAGGCTTAATAAATGGTAATAATATATGCTCACAGTCTTGTTTAATAATTTTGGACTCCGCGTCCAGTGGATGTAGTGTTTTTTGGTTTAGGGGGTTTACCAAATGTAAAGCCTGCGATATGGCTGTATATCGGAACTGGTGGGGGCACATCACACGCCTCCCACCAATGCCAAAATACAGCCATATCGCACTGCTACAAGTGTGATATTGCTCATATACATATATGAGGAATACAGTAGTGTTACATAAAAAAACTAAAATGACAAAAATATATAAAAAAAAAGCAATCATAAAATATCATATATTATAATTTTTTCTACTTTAACTGGCATCAATGTTTTCACCAGCATTAGTTCTAATCATAATTAGCAAAAAATCTGATTTGAAGTTTTTCTTAAAATACTGGTTTGTTTACAGGATGTAATTCAACATGCAATGGATGCAATGTTATAATCATAGACTGTAAAATATATGGACGTAGTGTCCGTGACGTCACGCATAGGTTTCTAAAGAACGCAAAAGAAGCCACAAGTAAATATTTTGGAAACAGCACGGATACATAAGTCCTCCTTTCCTCTTGCTGTATTTGTGTTATGTATATGTTTAATCTTATTTTTATTTTTTTTTTCTCTTTTTTGTTTATCTTTTTATTTAATTTTTAATGTTTATATTATTTATCCTGATCTGTTATTGTCATTGTGTTCCTTTGTGTAAATTGAATTTTGTATGTTTGTTGTTGAAGTCAATAAAATTTTTTTTTTTAAAGTAAAAGAAAAAAAAGAAGAAGAAAAAAAAGAAGCCACAAGTAGGCGCGGCCAACCGTCGTCATTTTGTTCGCGCGTCATCACAGCCACGGCGGGATACCAAACAAGGGTAAAGAGGCGGAGAGTGGGCGGAGCTACAGACACCTGCTGGCATTTTGCTTGGACCTGGTTCAGACACACTTTACTTTGGGAGAACGCTTAATACTTCATCACCTGTGACTCGTTTGTATTCTGACCACTCGTGCTTGGTTGTACACTATATCAATAAAGTGTTTAGACTTTTAAAAACACTGCTGTAATACATTGAGCCACTAAACATTGTTCTTATGACGTTTTTCAACAGGAGGAAAACGCGAATTACTTCCAAACACTTCAGATATAGTCTGTGTTAGTTAATGTAAGACTATTGATGAAATCCAGCATAACACTGTATGACAACGCTTCAGATGACTGTTCTAGAGCCTACAGCTAATCAATCTGACAGATTCTGGAGTGCATTACAGCTCTAAATATAAATATTAACCATAAATGATCTTAAATAAAACAAATACATGTATAGAGATGGTAGATAAGTATATAACTTTACTCACATGGGAAACGGAGGCCACGTGAATGGTTTGCGAGCACAATTAAGTGCACTCAGCATGCCATGCCATCTAATAATTGTAGGAAACAAGTCCAAAAGGCAACTGACTGTGTAAAGCCACATAAAACAACACAGAAATATGATAAATATGCCGAGTTCAGTGGCTAATCTGCGGAATTCAGCTGAGGTGACGTGACGGCGACCAACAAGACCTAGCTGTCACTCAAGTGACCACGCCCTTAATTATGCAAACTTAATATAACTTAATATAAAGGAAACGGATGAGTTATAAAAAAATTCACCCCCCTCACAGTTGTCATGAAGGGTAATATTAGCTGTATGAACCAAAATCTTTTTTTGTACCAGACTGTAAACACCTTTTTTTCTGCTGTAAAGTTGGCCATTCTAACAGTGGGCTCAATTGAAATTTTATTTCTATTTTGGAGCCAGGAGCGGCCAGGACTAGCGGAATTTTGGATGAATTGCAGTTTTAGTTACTTCCGTATTGGCTTCCTGAGGGAGAGCGGGAGGTTGCCGCTTGGTTATAATGCGTTTAATGGTTATCATAATCTTTGAAAGATTTAATTATTTAGATTTTTTTTTACTCAGGAACATGTATATGTATTTACGCATGTATTATATAATTTTTGCATCAAATGACAAAAAACGAATTACCGCTTACGCAAGGTGTTTGTAATGCAGTGTCTATGGGGTGAAACAGTAAATTTGACAAAGGGAAAAAATAGTGTGAGACTAATGACAAAGACTCTTTCACATTAGTCTCACACTATTTTTTCCCTTTTCTGAAAGTCTTGGTAACACAATGGAGGCATTTTCTTTTATTTGTTTCAGCAAATAGGATTGTAAAAAATGATTTGATTGTACTCTTCTATTAACTGCACTTTAAGTTTACACAACTAAGAGGACTTTTGCTGCTGAGAAACCCGCAAATGTGAAAAGGGTCTATAGGTGCTCTCTGTCAGTGGCTGCAATACAGCTCTAGAGCGCCCTCTGTTATGAGATGTCTTGAAAGCCATAATATATCTCCAGCGTCATGTGTTTCTAGGTTTGGCTGTGAGAACACGTAACTAATATTTAGCAGACAAAAAATAAATCTGCAATTTCCTGAGCTAAAAACAAATACAAAGTGTTCGGAGGCTTCTGAACTTCTTCATCAAAATCAAGCTCACTTTTATCTCTGCACAAAAACAAATAACAATTGAAGCTGTGCAATCACGGAATAAAAATGTGAAGATATGAAACAAAATCAAGGCTCAAAAACCTTCTTCTAAGCTTTTACTTGACTCTTTAACTGCAATTTTTTTTCATTTAGATGAGTAGAGGCCTGAACCTAGAACCTGTAGTCCACACATATTGAATTAACAAGCGGACACAACCATGTGATCTGATCTAAGGAGCTCACTGTACCCTAAAGACGCAGACTTCCATTGCCGGCACGGCACAGTTCTCCTGCAGACGGCTGATCTCAGGCTGTTGGGACTGTCTGTCATTTCCACAGGAAGTGAGGCATGTCTTCTGCACAAACACAGCACAAATACTATGGTTGCAGCTTTTCAACATTTTCTGTGTTTGAAACAAGCTTTGAAACAAGTAAAGGGAGAGTAAATGATGACAGAACTTCCATTTTTGGGTGAACTGTCCCTTTAAAATTTGCATTAAAGTACTCTGACTATCATTTACAGGAACTTTTGTACTAGCACTGTTATACTATTCCATTTGTACAGTACTGTCGAGTGTATACATATCAAACTTTAATTCAATTTCATTTGGATAGCTACAACATCTTACAGAAAATCCATATTAGGAATAAGAAATGAACTCTCTAATGATAAAAAGTAATTAATTATATTTGTTTATAATCACACTTGATTAAAACAGTCTGCAGAAACACCTTGATTGACATTCTGCCTTTGAACATGTCATCAAAGGGTAAAGCCCCGCCCATTAGTAACAATCTCTCCCTCATTAGCATAAACAGCCCTAAGTGAGAAGCAAACAGGATGTGTCACCTACTGTGAAGGACATTAAAAAGATGGTTCACCCCAAAAAAAACTACATTTACTCCCTATATACTCTCCCTCAAATGGCTATAAACTTTCATGAGTTTCTGTATTCTGTTAAACACAAAAGAAGGGAGAGTAAATAATGCCTTTTTCTATTTTGGGTGAATTATCTCTTTAAGGAATATAATAGTTTAAATATTCAGAGAATATTCAGTGCAGCAAAACATACCTGACAATTCTTGAACCGCCATATTCTGATCTGGAAAACACAAAGAGAGAAAAACGTCAAAACCATATATAGGGCTCTAGCATACAGCCGGCGTAATACGGCACAAGACGTGTTTGGCACTATTTTCAGACTAGCCCAATCCTAATTTTCACGTTTTGTACCACTTTGTTTAAATAGCAAATCCATTTGCGCCACTTTGTGGACTTATGGGTATGCTGGTCTAAAATAGAGGTGTGTTAAGGCGCATTGTTAGCAGCCAGTGTTACAAGTAGTGACGCTATAAGCTTAACTACATTTCTCGGTAGCTTGGCGGTAGCGTCGCTACTTTCTAAATCAAATAGCTTTTCAGTAGCGAAGCTATTATATTAGTCAAGTAGCGCAGTAGCGTCCACACAAGCTACATTTACCGATCACTGATCAATAAGTGACAGCACCGACATTCACGGAGCTGTGAGGCCGGTGTGTAGCCGGTGATAGTAAATCCATATGATGGCTGGAATGAGGAATTCTTCTTCTTCCTGTTTTACGGTGTTCAGCAACAAACTTTTTGGTGCGTTACTGCCACCTCTGGTTGGTGATGTCCCCAATTGAAACTTGCTTGATGTGAAGATGACTGAGGGAGAGGAGTTATTTCGATTACGCACTGCTTAATACACACAAGATGTAGAGCAATGCACAAATATCTTTACATATGAAAAAAAATTAAATATTAAGGATATATATAGGATATAATAAGAGTATATAAAGGATATAAATATAAAGGATTAAAATATTACAAAACATTATTTTCTAGCCTACATAAATATAAAAACCACTGCCTTTCATGCCTTCTTCATCTCGGGAGGCTTTTTCAGTTCATTCATGACAATTTGCTTTTGTATAATGTTATTATTATTAGCAGTATTATTTATTATATCCATATTTATATTGGTTTTATTAAAAACAAGCTTAGATTTGCCCACCTGTCAGGTTTTAGACCATATGGGGCACAGCATGTGTTTTAGGATATAACTAGGTTTTTGAGCACACTTCGTTATTATTATTCATTTATTCGTTTGCTGGAAATTAGAACTGAATTTAGAAACAGTTTTGAAACAAATAATGTTTCAATATGAAATTACTTATTTATAGACTAATTGATGTCTGTGCAATGAAAGTAGATCGATTATCTCTCATTCTCGCGCGGTAGATTCTCTGTTTAACTGTTTTCTTGCAAGTGAAGTGTTCAGTTTTTCCACTCACACTTACTTTACGTCAAGTAAATAGTAAATGCGCTTACGGCGTGACGCAACTGGCTCCTAAAGGGAATGGGAGATGAGACTCTGATTGGTTTATTCTCAAAACACACCTATACATCATTAAGAAATAAACTCAACCCTTTTAGACCGTGCGCCACGGCGCAAAGCGAATTTTCCCATCCTTATATTAGTAAAAATTCATTCTGACACGCCCTGAAAGTGTTTGCGCCCTGCGTTTTGCGCATGGACCGTCAAAATAGAGCCCAATGTCTCTCTTTACATTGAACTTTGAGCGTCTTACATTCAGAGATGTTGTTTGTGTTCACACAGCCACATTACATACGAACTAAAGTTTAAAATATGATATCGTAGTGGACCACCACTTTAATGCTTTTGCGCCTTGCGCTTTAGACTTTGCGCCTAGATCGTTAAAATGGAGCCCATAGAGTCAATGTTCATAGTTAACGGTCATTATTATAATGCACACTATTACAGTTTAAAATAACAAAACAAACTGATTTTAGTAGCTGAAAAAATGCCCTCCTGCATCTGTGTGTGTTCTTAAATGTTACTACTGTAATGGTCAAACAGTCAAGCATCAACTACAGTACACGCAGAAACGAGAATACAGTTATACCCTGTGGCACCTGCATTTACAGATACAAGCTTTAATCTTCACGGGACGCTGACTTCTTGCACTGCACACAAAAGTGTTTTGAACTGCTCTCAGGACTGTAACATCAGAACAGGAGTCGGCTCTCAGCGATCCCGATCTGCTTGAGGAACCACTACAGTAAATGCCAGGCCACTCCACCAGAAAAAGACGCAGCGAGGCAATAAACGCATGCTCAGATTTACTGCAGGCTCCTGTGTTAGACGGCTCTCCTGATGGGAATGAAGAACAGTGTCTGACCCACACAGAGGCTTCATGAGCGTGAAGCAAATAAGCAGATCAAATTGCATAGTTCAAATCATTTCTAGTAAAAACAACACATTTAAGGCCCTGGTATACTTTGATGAAATTTTACAATGACAAGAAATGATGTCATTTTGGCTCCTATGTACCTCTGAGCTACAACTGGTTGACATACAATTGATTTGATGTGATCTCATATCCATGGAGGTCAAACAGGGGACTGACATCAACTAGTGAGTGGAGTAGCAGAGCTGGTACAGATGTATCCGCAACTGTACGATCGCCCGCCGTGAGTTAGTGTTACATAGTAGTTCAAACACAGTTACATACTAAGAACAGAACTATTACTTATTTGGTCAAAATTCTATACACAGCAGATCTCACAACTGGACCTGCAATTAGAGGGATACAAAGTTAGCTCTAGCTTTACTGTAAATGTTCTGGGTGTTATATTAGACAGCAACTGAACTTTTGAAAATCATATTTCCCACTTCCAAAAATACTGACTTCTTTCATCTTAGAAGTTCTACAATATCCCAGCCAGCAAAATATATGTAGCTCAAATCTGTCCCACACCAGACACTTACATCCGGCCCACATACCTTATGGAATGATGGCACTTGGGCGGTCCGCTCCTGTTTGTCAGATCTGGGCCACAATTAAGCCAAAGCAATATCTCATATCAGCCAGAATTCAACCAAATGAACCAGAACTGACCCTATTCTGGGTCACAGTTTGCTTTTATTCTGGCCCAGATCCGGCCCACACCAGACACTTACATCTGGACCACATACTGAACGGAATGATGGCTCTAGGGTGGTCTGCCCCTGTTTGTCAAATCTGGGCCACAAATAAGCCAAAGCAATACCACATATCAGCCAGAATTCATCCAAATGAACCAAAACTGACCCGATTCTGGGTCACAGTTTGCTTTTATTCTGGCCCAGATCCGGCCCACACCAGACACTTACATCCGGACCACATGCTGAATGGAATGATGGCTCTAGGGTGGTCTGCCGCTGTTTGTCAAATCTGGGTTACAAATAAGCCAAAGCAATACCACGTATTAGCCAGAATTCAACCAAATGAACCAGAACTGACCCTATTGTGGGCCAGGGTTTGCTTATATTCTGGCCCAGATCTGGCCTACACTTTACACTTGCTGGGTGTGGCAAAGTACAAAAATCCCAGCATGCATTGCAGTATGAATTCATTCGATAGCTTAGTGATGCTCCAGTTTTCATTATTTGCTGTATTTGATTCTGCTGTTTATGTCGACGTTGTTGATTTTGTCACTTTTGGTTTCCTGTTTGTGACGTTTGTGAGTTTTGCTCATTTTATTAATTGTCACCGTTGTTGAGGTTCATACGCTGATTATTGATGTCTCTGTGAGCAGAAATTGAACCATAGAATTTTTGTAACTTATAAACCTTCATAATTATGTATCATGTGCAAGCATGTTATTGTGTTACTTCTAATAATGGATTAAACATTGGTTAACAGGTTATGCCTCACTTAAATTTATTTATTTATTTATTTATTTTACTTGGCCTGTTTGCTGTAATGAATAAACTTTTCAAGCAAAGTTCTTAAAAGTTACAGCAGCCCAAAATGAATATTTATATTAAGAGGTTCAGGGCTATGAGCCCAACTAAAGGTAACACTTTTCTCCATTACGGTGACTTTAGTCTATGTGGTCCACATATGTTTTAAGATAACTGGGCCACATTTTAAATTTCTTTTCTGGGCAACTATAGGCTAACAACTGCACTAGCCAGAGTTTACTGCGTCGAATATTTGCCAAAAGTGGCCTACAAATATTTTAAAATAACTGTGCCACATTTGCTATATCTTCTCTGGACCGCTTTAGGCTCACAGCCACATTAGCCAGAGCTTACTGTGCCAAATAATTGCCAAAAGTGGCCCACATTTGTTTTAGGATAACTGGGCCACATTTGCCTTATCTTCTCTGGGCCACTATAGGCTCAAATACACATTAGCCAGAGCTTACTGTGAAGAATATTTGCCAAAAGTGGCCCACATATGTTTTAAAATAACTGGGCCACATTTGCCATATTTTCTCTGGGCCACATTGGGCTCACAGTCACAATAGCCAGAACTTACTGTGCCAAATATTTGCCAAAAATGGCCCACATTTGTCTTAAGATATTGGGCCACATTTGCACCTACATGTGTGAGCCACTTTAGGTTTAGACCCAGATTACCCTTAAATGACTATGCCACATTTTTTGTCAACTGTGGCCCACATTTTTCCTCCATCATTTGGGCCAAATTTATCATTTTCCACATGGGCCACATTGGGCTCACATTCAGATTACATTTTGCCATAAGTGCCAAATCTTTGTCTTAAATGGCCCATATATGAATTTAAATATTTGCCCCCCCTTTGCCATTGTACAGGTGGGCCACTTCAGGCTCACATTCATTTTGTCTGGGCCGAAAAAAGACCACCAGTGCTGCATAACTGCCTAAAGTGGCCCACATTCGTATGCCATCTGGGACACTATCACAAGGCAAGTCATAACCTTCTGATTTAGTGGCTAATTTGATCACATTCATACTATTTAGTATAATTTGCTCATCCCCTAATGACCACTGGGTTTAGGGGTGAAGTTGGGGGCCACGCATCCTTTTTAAAATCATACATTTTCAAATGACCGAACTTTTACAAATTCGAAAGAATTAGCCGCTAAACTGACAAAACGTAAAATAGTGACGTGAGATCAGGCTGTATGCACATTTACACTCTTCAACAAAACCACACAGCAGGAATCCCCTGTACAGATTCTGTCCTGCAGCTTCTTGCAATGTCCTCCGCACAGTTCCACTGATTCAGCGTTTGAATAAAGGCTTGG